AGAATCTTAGAAAAAAGGAAAAGAAAAAAAAGCCAAGAATTCTCACTGCTCATAAGCAGTCCCTGAGTCTCCCAAGACTGGGCTGTGCTGCAATGAGGGTTGCGGTGCGAGGCTCCAGAGGGGCCTGAGGGAGGCGTTGATGGCACTATGACAATAGCTCGTCTACCTGGGGAGTCATGAGACCAGTGCTTCCAGTCCCATTTTTGCCTCCGATTCTATTTGGCTTATTCCAATGTCTTGGTGCCCTTGGAGCTTCAGTTCCTCCCTATCCTAAAGCATCCGATTTGGCTGAGCACTTTGCCAAGTGGGAGGTGCGGAGTGTGAGGTTCCTTCCGACTGACATCCTGACTGAGGCTCAGTAGATGACATCTCTGTGATCTTGAGACTATTCAAGAGGCCTTAATGGCTGTGTACTGAGATGAGCCTGGACCCTGGGTCTGCTTCCTGGTTGGGAAACACCAGCTTGAATGGCACTTGCAGCTGTGTTGGTCTTCACAGATTAGAGGGTACCTGTTTACTGTGGTAAAATTCAGGTGAACTTTGGGGGTGAATTCCTTCCCTTATGAGCTTAGCTCAAGGTGCAGTTCACAAGGACAGAAACACATCTCAGGAGCCAACTAGAATGTGTGCATGTGTATGTGGCATTTGGCTTTTGTTGTTTGTAAAGAAACAGCCGTTAGTGCTTAGTAGACAAACAGTTTATACAATAATAAGTGTGGTTACAGTCCATTGTTGTCAGTGATACAGCATTTTCCATCACAACTACAGGTAAAACCAAATTTCATGAAGTAGTCATAGCACATTCATGCTAGTGAGAATATATTAAAACATTGCACGTGCATTATAGGGGCAGACAAAACTGGAGAAAGGAGATATTTTCACTCGTGGTTGGTTTCGTGTAGTTTGTCATTGAGACTTACATTATGTTTGGGTCAAACAAAAAACCCAAAGAGGTTTTATAAAAGTTTACAACCATTAAACATTATTGTTTAATCCCACAAATGAATAAAGCAAACTACTATAGCTCAATGATACACAAACCAGGACTAAAAATAGTCAATCTGCCTAAGTATCTAGCTAACTACAATACAATAGCTATTAAATATGCTGAATGTTTATAAAGGCATTGAGACAAGCAGGTTCCAGAAATATACTGGTTTGGTTTCCAGTGAGAACTAAGTGTAGTGCCGTTTCGGTGGAGACTAATGCACTCCCCAGTGTCAGATCTGAGGAGAAGCAAACTAGGGCGAGGAAGAGGAGGGTTGGGAAGAGACCTGAGCAGGACTCGTGGACAGCTCGGCATTACTTCCCTGTGCAGATCCAGACCCAGTTCACGGAATAAAAGTGTATTGAAATCCTTGGCCCCCAAAAAGGCCATTTGTTACAAAATCCCATACTTACAGCATAGATAGAATGGAAACTGAGCGCCTCTCAAAGTGAACTCTTCTATGTTTAGAAGAAAACTCAGTGCCAAAAGGTTAATGGATATCTGTGTTAGAGTTACTGTATAAAGATAATTCATCCCAAAATAGAGGGGGGGGGGGAAAGAATTTTAGAGAAGTATTCATAACTAGCAGAGGGAGAGAGAAAGGATCATGCTATGTGTTTCGTTTCTTAGAAGTGGGCAAAGTTTTGTAGACCATTTCCATAAGGCATCTGTCATTCCCCCTTTTATGCCGGGCACCTTAAGAGAGAGTACAATGGCTCAATGTTACCTTGTCTCACAGAAGCAGTGCCCTGGATTAAACCATGCCACCCCAGGGTCACACATCTCCTTTAGGTTAAAATAAAAGTAAAACGATGACAAAATCACACCTGCACACACATAAAGAAAGAAATCACAAAATCCATAAACTCCGAGGCCTGAACAGGCACAGGCTGCTGTGAGGTCAGAAAATCGGTGAAAGAATTAAAATTACAAAGCACCTCTTGGAAAATATACCACTTCTTGAAAACCGCTTAAAACGTTGGGCAGCGACCTCTGCTGAGTGCTTGGAGGTAAGTATCCCGAAGTATGCATGCTTCGTTTCATGAGGGCAACTTGGTTCTATTCCCAAGGGACCAAGGGGGAGGGGTTCCCGAGTGCTTCTTTATTAATTGCTGCTTTATGACAGACAGTGAAGAAGTCAAGAAGTGTGCAGACCTCAGGATAAAGAAAATGTTTAATAACTAAGAACCAAGCTGGATCTATGCATCTGTGGTCGTGCAGCTCCATTTATAGATTCTTGCAGATGATTCACCAACACTGGTAACTTTTTATACAAACTCTCTGTCCCAAGGATGTATTGAACTCAATAGCCTAAAGAGAACTTACGCAGTGATAATGCTTGAAACTGTACACGTGAGAGCTGGGCATCTAGTAAGAAAGAGGCCTTGAAAAAATTGTCTATCTATAAACTATGACTGCCCTTTGGAAATAAAAGCTCCCTCACAACCTCGGCTACCTCCCTGTGACACACAGTGCCACAAACATTGGAGTGTGAAAAATCAGTCCTAATCCTAGTTGAAGATGAGTTTTGTACATGTGTTTCTATACAATCAAGGAAAAAAGATACAATTTGTATCAACAAAAGGTCATTTCTGGTTATTTGAAGCATTGCTCCTAGCCGCTTTGGTTTATGCACAGTATGAGAGGAGAAGAATGACGATTGTTTTTAGGAAATAAGAAATACTTATGCTGCCTTCAAAATATTTACTATATTGGGAGAAGCCTACAAATTGTTCTGAGTACCAAATAGGAACATGTTGGAGATGAATTGCAGCTCACATTAATCTTGTGCTTCTTTGTGCAAATTGTGCAAATAGTTAATAACTGCAGTGCCATTGATGATTTTGGTAGGACGATGAACTAACTGGCACAAAGGCATCAGAGTCATCAAAACTGTCAAAAACCTGATTTAGACACAGGGCAGATTGAGAAGGTCCAAGAAGTTAAAGGTAGGAAATAGGGTCTTGTATGAAACAGCAAGCACTGCAGGGGCAACTGTCACTCTCTTTGAAACTACCTGATAGAGAAACTACTTTTCATATTTTGGTAATATGCTGAGGGATGGGGAGATTAGATGGCAAGTGAGTGATGGGAAGTTGTGATGAACTGAAAAGTAACACTGGTTGGGATGCAGAACTGATCGACTTGGACAGACAGAAAGCAGCATGCAAGCCATTATCAAACCACCAGAAACAACCCAGACTACAGCCTCACATTCAGAGTGTTTCACAGTAAGAAACATTTAATAGGCAGTGTCACACCTTCTCATGAAGAAACAAAGGCCAAGGCCAAGGCCAGGCCTTCTCAACTTTCATGAAAGAAAAATCAAATCAAATCAAATAAAAACCACCATAGAACTTAGCAAGTTCTAGCTCAAGAAATAGTGAGCTGGTCATGGTTGAAAATGTTGAAATATACAATGGATTCAAAAAGGGGGTTCATTTAGTGCAGCTTGAAAAAAAAAAATAAACAAGTAATACCTCTTCTAGAGGCACTTAGCTACAAAGTTTCCCACCCTGAGCAAGAGACAAGTTGCGCAAATGATGCCTCTCAACCTGAGGCCTTTCCTCTTTAGTAGCAGATCTAAGAATTACCTAATAGCAAGTGCATCCTCTGTGGGGATTTGAAGTGCACAACTGAGCCAGCTATTAGCAAAAATGCAGCATCCCGAAAGCTGCTTTGTTCTACCTAGAAAATCCCCTGGTTTTTTGTTTATTTTGTTTCCTAAAGAAATTCTGCTCCACCAATAATTGACCTTATTGCCCAAAGGGTGGACAGTAGGAGAAAAGTGGATTACATGGCTATGCACTGTCCTCCACTACGTTTCATCCTGTGGTGTTGAATACTGCATAGATCAGAAGTCCAGAAAGCATCCATTGGTCCCTCCTTGAGTGAGGCTTTAGTATTCACCATTTAAAGCCATGCGAGTTTGGCCATCTCCCCGGGAAAAGGTGAGTGACCTCTGGTGGTAAATCCTTTGGTCCTGGTCAAACTCTTCTGTGCTCGTGTAGCATACTCATGTACTATGATTGGAACTTGAGCTTATCCGTCAGCTCCTCTGCAGAAGGCTGCAACCTGACCCCTCAATGACTGAGGTGAAGAGACTTGGAAGCTAGGAACTGTTGGTAAATGTTGGCTGGCCAGTGAAAAGTGCAAAGGAAACATCTGGCTTGCTGTGGCGCCTAAGAAAGCAATGTTCAAATATTGGCGTGTACTTTCACTTTCAAAACTAGTGAAACTATGAAATGTAAGGTCATCAAGTCAGATTCATGTCCTATACAGTTATAGACTAAGGACTGTTTAGAGCCTATCTTCTCGTTATCACTATATAAAAGTTGACACAAGAGGTTTGCACACATCTCAAATATATACATTCATACATGCAATATAATTGCTAAGAATAGATTTTCGAGAAAGCTCTAGAAGCCTCTATGTGACCCTATATCTTGCTTAATAAAGATATTGAATGATCAGATATCCATGCAGAAGGAAGCATTTGCTTTAGCAATTCCTATTAAGAAACCGAAAAGGTTAATTCAATATACAACCTGAACCTGATGCTTTTGCTTTCTAAACTGGATATATTATTCACACTTTGCAGTATAGAATGTGTGACTAAGAAATGCTGGTAATGGAATCCCTTGGGATTTCTTGCATTTAGGCCTCCCCCCTTTCCCCCAACCCCCGCCCACCCGCCCTGGGCTTTGTCCTCCATTACCTGTGTGGTGCAGTGCAAAAAGGCCATGGGACTTGTCAGAGGACTTGGGTGTGTGACTTAAGTCATCTGCTAGCAGTGTGACTGGCAAGTCAATCTCGCTGAGCTTCAGCTCCCTGCTCTATAACATAGGATGTTGACAAGACCTACCTCACAGGGTTGTTATGCACTTAAATGATGTAAATACTCTGTGACTCGGCAAGTGCCACACAAATGGTTAGTTACTAATATCAGAGTATTAGTGTATTTGAAGTATTAATAATCCTACTTCTAGCAAGGACCGAGTATCGTGTCATGTCAACGTGCAGCCCTAAGCTTAGCAACAATCAGGGCTGCCAGTTGCTGGGCATCTGCTGTGTGGGGATTCTTCTCCATCACTGCAAGGACAATGTTGGGAGGGAAGATATTGCAGAGGTTCTTGTAGGTCTGATACTGGTGCTCTGGGATCATATGCTCCCTGGAATCATTGCACATTCCAACCCATGGATTCCTCCAAAGCTGCTCCATCTTTTCGGGGACGCTGCGTACCATGACTGGCTCGTAACACGGTTGCATGAGGCTGTTACTCAAGGGATAGGAGTGGTAGCCATAGGAGTCAGCTGCACAGGGCAGTGGGTCCCAGCTGGCGTGCTGTTCCCGGCACAGAGGAGGTCGTCTTTGCCTCATGGGGTTGCTCTCGTAGAGGCGCGAGTCAGAGATGCTGTCCATGCGCGTCATCACCAGGGCCCGGCCTGGCTGGGGAGGTGCCCCGGGATGGATATTGGGAGGCATGGCGTAGTCTCCTGGACAGCTGGAGCGTGTGCCAGTTGCCGGGTGCTGGGCATGCAGAGCTAAGTGTGGGACTGACTGCTTATGAGGGGCCTGCTTAGAATCCTCTGGGCCATAGCTCTGCACTCGTGTTAAGGCTTCATGGTAACCATGAGGGAAAGGCTGCAGTCGGTTCTGAGATGCTGAGCGGTGCAACTTCAAACTGCCTTCAGAATGGGCATCAGCTACAGCCAAGTACAAATTGTTGTAGGAGGAATAGTTGTCGTTCCTGGTATGGCTCATGCGGCTGTCTGGGCAGAGGTTGGGATTCCGGGCATACAGCCCTCGGTCTGCTTCAGCTATGTAGTACTCTCGATTATGCATGCTGTTGATGTTTAACTTGGAGAAGTCACCTAACATTGAATAGTAGCCATGGTCCCCCATGGACTCAAACTTTGGATATTGCTCAGCATAGCTAATAGGGGTCCCATGGCTGTTGGTAACGAGGATGGGAGGATACTGCATGCTTGCCATGTGCTCCAGTGAGGCCTTCTGGTGTGGGAAATGGGAGGATCCTGGTACTGGGCTGCTGGCCGAACGGGTGTTGAGTGCACCCACTGCATGGCTTTTGGGGGGTGGGAGTGTGGGGACACTTAGGGCGGTCACAAGCGAGGGGACAGAACTGGCCTCAGGCTTACGGGCAATGGACAGCCATTCCTCGGGCTCCACAGCCACAGACCGGATGCTAGGATCGGATTGGCGCTTGGGGGCCACCCGTTTGACCTCTGAGGTTATCTCACCTTTGGCACTAGACATCCCTGTGCCACACTTGGCCAGGGTGCCTTCGCTCATGGTTTTCACTGTGGACAGTTTGGCACTGATGCGGAGCTCATCAGCCACCGAACGCTGCGGTTGGTTGGCCCGCTCCGGGTGGTAGTATTTGCACTTGTGGCCGTAGGTGCATTTTTTGCCTGAAAAAATAATGCCTTGGAGTAAGACTTTCTCTCATAGTGTGCAACCCTCTGTGCCAGAAACTGTCATAGCAATCTGGTCACTCGGGCTAGTGTTATACTGTGTGGGACTGAAGCAGAAAATCAACTTTGCACAAAGGTGAGAGACAGACAACAACAAGGAGGCATCACACACTGCAAGGGTTGGGGGAGAGGTGGAAAGCTGCAGAGGAAATTGCAGTATCCAAGCTCAGAGCTGAGTAGTGGAACAGCCTGGATTGTCTAGTGACATGCTGCTTTGCTTCAGCATAGCCTGCACGCTGAGGTGCCGATGAACAACGGAAGGGCGCGTGGTGCAGTGTAAATGAGCACAGGTTTGGAGGCCAGGCAAACCTGAGGTTCAGTTCCAGCTACGTCCCTTACTAGCCCCGTGACCTTGGCCAGTGACTCATTTTTCTCTTCTGTACACAGGGTTCATAATCAAGCATGTATATTATAGGGTAGTTTTGTAAAGATTCAACGAGATACATGCAAATCTGTTTTAAATGTTAGTTGAGGACAAAAACAAAATTCCCCATAAAACAAGTGATTATCCCCAAAGAGCCAATGTCGAAAGTAGCCTCAGACCCACCAGCCCATGTTTCTTTCCTGTGTCAGAGGGACTTGGTTACGAGCACAAGAACACTGGAAGAGGGTGTATTTTTTTTAAAAGAAGTTAATTTTGGAAGTGAAGTGGCAAAGTATAGATCAGAAGGAAACGGTATTTTTAGTTGGCAGAAAGTGCAAGTCAACTGCCTAACAGACACGTTCTTGGGCTCAAACGCAGTTTAGCATTACTCTCTCTGTGTTCACAGGCCCTGCAGGGTTTCTGCAACATCGCTCAAGACTTAGGCAGCTGGAGCCCATATGTCATCTTAGGAAGTGACACCTAATTCTCCCTTTGATTCTAGATACCTCTTCCTCATCCAGTTTCAAGGATTTCTCTTTAAATGCCTCCGGAGAGTACATAAAGACACAAACCGTAACTCACAGAAAGTGGATGAAGCCGAATTTCCCATCTGAGAGGGAAAACTGGGAGAGAAAAGTATCCACGGAGTCCTTATGTTTCCCTTAGTACAGAACTGAGTTCTGCACATAGGTACTCACCATAAGGACATGGTTGCTTCTTATGCTCAGGAACGACAGGTCTCTTTCTTAGGAAATTTTCAAGGCTTGGGCCATGGCGTCCTAAAGGATCATCTGGAGGCATAAATCTGAAAGCAAGCAAGCAAGGGGTGAATGTCTTCCCTTCTGTTGCCACGAGCCCCTTACCAGGAGTTCAGATTCTCATTAGCTCTTGCCTGTACTGTTGTCACGGCTTTTTCATGGGCCCTCCTGCCTTAAGGCTGGCTTTTTTTTTGGTTAGGCCAGCTGCTCTTCCTTTTGTTACCACCTGATCACACAGAAAGAATTCTTTCCCCTCTGCATCATTCTTCCATGTGGGTGTGTTCCAACAGTACCAGTGTGCCTGCTTGTTCCCTCAACACGCCACTTCATGGCTTTGTTCATGTTGTCCCTTTCCTCTGTCATGCCCAGCAGCCCCCTTTGCTCTGTCTGTAAGCTTCCTCTGAAATGTCATCTCTGGGAGGTCTTTTTCTAAAACCTCCTGCAGACAGAGCAATTAAGAAGAAAATACTTTAACTGGAGCACTTATCACAACACATTGTGGGGGTTTCTCCCCCCCCCCCCGCTATACTTTCAGCCCTTTAAAAGGGCTGTTTCTCATTCAGCCTTTTATTTCCATGGCAACCAGCATAATGCATGGTACACAGTAAGTGTTCAGTAAATTTTTATTGAAGTAGAATGAAATCTATTCCTACTGGTAACTTGGATAGAGGCTTATTATTCAGAGCCTACTGGGAAGAAACGCACTTGTCATTCACAAAAGAATACATCAGCAACCGCTCTTCGATGAACTTCTTCCATTCTGGCTTTTCGACTTGAAGGTCTCGGTAGTTATCGTTGGACACAATTATGCCATCAGAATCAAAAGCCAGTTTGACTATGAACCGGTCATCATAGCAGACAACCCTCCTGCCTTGGACCCTTCGGGATGGTGTGAAGACAAGAATCTTTTCCTTTTCCAGTTTCCGTAGAACATCTTGATCTGTTGAAATATGATTATATGCCACAGAGTAGAAACTCTCAAATTAGCAGTCTTATCCTTGTATTAAAAAAAAAATACAAAACTAAAAAATTAATTTTATATTTTTTCTAAAAAATATTTACACAATCATCCACCCCACACCAACATACACTATCCCTATTTCCCTACCCCAAATTACAACAAAACAACAAAATCTTTTCCCTTAACCACCCTTTACCCCAACCAAAACACACCCACACCATACTCCATCCCCTACCACCCAAAAAAACAAATTCAAAAAATACCTAAAAATTCCCAAATTCCAACCATCCCCCTCAAATTTCATAAGCTCTCGCACACTCACTCGCGCAGCTCGCGAGTCTCTCTCTCGCATTAATCTTTTACATAAATTCTCCATCCTCCCACCCACCCCATTCCAACTCCAAATTCAACATCATCCTTTCTTCCCCCCCAACCCCTACCCCCACCTCAACTATAATATAATACCCCCCAAACATAATATTCAACACAAATTCCCTACTTTTCCAATCATTCATTTTTCAATCTCATTTCCCATCCACCACACACATACAATTTCACATCAACCAATCATATTCCTCTACTCCCTCCATAAACCCCCCCTCCCCATTCCTCCAACCATTACAAACCCCAATATTCACAACATTTTAAATATTTAAACACATAATCCATTCCTCATATCTCCCAATAATTATTCAATAACATACATCTTCCATAACCCAGTTCAAAGTAGCTGTCACAGTCTTCCTGCCCATTAGGACCACATACCGAGTGTTGAGGACTTTTTAAAAGACATTTTTGGCCTTATGAGCCCCTTCTTTCATAAGGAAATGTTAAACTTTGCATACCACAATTATATATTGGTATAATCCAAATATAGTCCAGCAAATACGTCACTGCAAATTCGCCATTTTTTTCTGTTTGATGTGAAAAGAAAATAAAAATATTTCCATGGGACCTGAAAAATATCCTTATTCCTAGGTTATTGGGGTCTACTCTGCATCACACTTTAGTCAGCTGTGACTTCCGCAGGACTTTGCTCTTGATTCCACTCCCTAATTGTGAACCTCACATTTGTCTGTACAGAATGAGACCTATTGTCTAGCATGGTTTGCATAGTCCCTTGAAAAATGTCTTCCTTTTCATTGTCAGGTAATCCCCGCTTAGTCTGAATCTATGCCAAGTAGAAAAGCGCTCCTTTTCAACTACAGACCCTTTCCTTTGCTGAATTGACGCTGCTTCTATTAAACTGTCATATACCACAATGATGGGTTTCTTTGCAGCACATTATCAAAAAAATAAACTTAATGAAAGATATTTTACATATCCTTGACTATTTAGAAAAGAAATTTTAGCTAAATTGGTGCTATCAGCCGCTCCTGCAAATGATCTTTCTGGCTTTGCCTCCCAATGAGAAATGCTGGCTAGAGAACAGTACCTGTAATTGGTGCATCAGGGCGGGACTGCTCCTTTCTCCATGCAGGCACGAATACAGTAATATCTTTATGACCTTTATCTAAAAACCAGTCCACAGCAAGTTGTATTCCTCGGCAGGAGAATTCTTCTTTATTTCCATGGCTTTAGAAAAGCAGAGAATAAGAGGAAAAACGACTGACAGTAGCCAAAAAAAAAAGCCCGCAAATAGTTGGGTTTTTTTTTTTTTTTGTATCAAAAGATTAACAACAAGCAATTTCTCGATGATAACAAAGAACATATTGTTTAAAAGGAGCAAATCAAAATGATTTTTTTTTAGTTTATTAATTATTTTAAGAGAGAGAAGGATCCTTTGGTTCACCCTCCAAATTCCTGGCTAAAAGGCAGCAGCCACTAACTCCATCTGGATCTCCCACATGGGTGGGTGGCAGGGACACAAGTACATCTGATGTCTCCCAGGGGTGCACTAGCAGGAAGCTGAATCTGAAGAGGACAAACAGAAACCAGGTCTCTGACACTAGATGTGGGAGTCCTAAGGGGCAGCTGAATGCTCTGCAGCACAATTCTTGTCCATCAAGTTCTCTCACAATGTTTATCATGCATGTACATTTAATTAAATACAATACACTAACAAAAATTCTTGAAAATTTAAGGTGTAGAAAATACAATGTAATTAGAAAAAGAGGATTTAGAAATGTGTGTAAATATAAATATCATAATCCTGATTTTGCAGAAGAAAGCATTGAAATGATATTGGAAATAAGCACAACTCAGTGCTTATAAGCTCTGTGGTTAAATCTTCTTGCATGTGTCAGGATTCCACATGGGCACCAGTTCCTATCCTGGCTACTCCACTTCCATCTGGCTCCCTGCTTGTGGCCTAAGAAAGCAGTGGAGGGCAGCCCAAAGCCTTGGGACCCTGCATCATCATGGGAGACCTGGAAGAGCTCCTGGCTCCTGGCTTCAGAGTGGCTCAGCTCTGGCTGTTACAGCTACGTGGGGAGTGAACCAGTGGATGGAAGATCTTTCTGTCTCTCCTCTCTGTAAATCTGCCTTTCCAACAAAAAGAAATAAATCTTTCCTAAAAAGAAATAATCACAACAAAATATTAGTGAAATTGTTATTCTATGTGACAGAATTATCAGTCACAAAATTTCCTATACAATTCAAGTGTTTCTTTTATCATCAGAACATGACATAAAAGGAGAAAATTGTGTCACAATTACTTATAAAAGGAATAGACACCTGCAAACATAAAAAGTACAATAAAACTTTTTTTTCATTTTTTTATTGTTATTAAAATTAAAAAAAATTTTTTTAAATTATCTATTTAGTTGAAAGGCAGAATGAGAGAGAAAAGGAGAGACACTGTCATGCTGCCATTCAAATAATTAAAAAAAAAAAGTCCCCAGTGAGTACCACACGGAAATTACACTTCTCTACAGAAAATTTTAAGGGAAAATATATTTCACTGATAATACGTTTGAGATAGCTACCATTGGTTGCTTCTAAAATTTGAACCATGGAGCAATTGGGCAAGTCCACAGTGTTCAAAGGAGTAATACTGGACTAAGACAACATTAAACAGGTGGGAAAGTCAGCCAGGTATGATTTTTCCCACTCCTACAGTGATAGTAAATATAAAAAAATAATGTCACTTGAGAAAGTCACCAGAACTGTCATTGGAAGGGAAATTTTGTTTGGCTTTGTAGTGCTATAAAATGTCATCTTCTTTCAAACACAATCTAACCTTAGAAAAAAAAGCACGGCTTTGATTTGTTGCTGTATATTCCAACTTTCTATTTGACACTATCAAAATCTTTTTTCTAAAGATATTTGCATCATTACAAATGTGTACTGTTATTTCTTACATTCACATTGTAAAAAATGTGGAAAAATACATAAATTATGAAGAAAAAAACCTTCAAGGTCCCACTGTTTCACTATCACCCACAAACACTGCTCATGTGTTGATGCATTTATATATTTACATAATTTCTAAAAGCATAGAGAATTGTTAAATAACAAACCTAAAGTATTTTTAATTAAAAATATGTTCAAGTGTGGACTTTAGAGCATTCCATGAGACACAAAATGAAATATCCAATAAGCACCATAGAGCATTTTAAACGTATTTGTCAAGGTGGTAATAAAGACCCATACAAGGACCTCATATGCTAAGTTTAATGCCCAATGAATATTTAAAGAATGAATTGATTTTTAATAAGAAAGTAATGTTTTCAAATGACTTGCCATCCCCCCCAACAAATACATAAAATGTGTTTTCATAGTCTTGGAAAGGTGAAATATGTTAGAACCTGCAAGTCAGAGTGTGTCAGTGACACTACAGCTCACTGTGTCCTATAGACTGGCTTAGAAACATGTCATGATTCAGGTTCCCAAACCGAATTCCAAATGGTAGATGGATTAGTGACTCCGCCCCCCCCCTATAATTTTTTCTAGTAGGGTTCAAGTATTTGAGCTCCTTACAGACATAACATAGAATAATGGTAGCATTCATATTTCAAAGTCTGCAATTCTTTGCAGTGGAGCTTTTTCTTTCCAGAGGCAGACAGATTTTAGAATGTATGTATCCTTTAGCATGTATCAAAGCCTAGTTACAATATGTGAATTAGTTATCCCATTACTGCAAATATTAATGCCTTCAAAGGCAGAGTATCATACTATAAACAGACTCATCCAGCAGGTTGAAGAACAGCAGATCGTAAAATGTAGTTTGTCTAAGAAATATCAATTGCATGATAAAGTTATAGTTAACTAACCAGGAAAAACAAACCAAGTTTACATTAACAGCAGTAACAAGTTCACAAACTGACTCTAATACTGTATTTTGACATGTGAAATGTGATTACAGAATAAATAAAATTCATAAGGAACTGAGACAAGAACAAGAGGCTATCAGGGACACATACAGCAATTTTTAAAACAGCATGCGGTCCACTATATACCATCTTAAGATGGAGTTTAAGACTTTCTAAAAATAAGACTGATGGATGATTTTCTTTTTGCTAATTTTTAAAAGATTTATTTTAGTACCGCTTACTTGTTGTAAATCACGTAAGGTACTTTGAATTTAACAGAGTTCCTGCCATGCAGGAGACAAAAGTTTATCTTTCTGTCAGCATGATTGCTATTGACAGACTTGATAAGTCGAAAACCTGAGTGATAAAGCTCTTCACTGTTCCACTGATTTTTTTGAAGAAAGGCAAAAGAACTGAAGCTGGCACAGTGGGATAATGGGGTGGTCCTCCACCTGTGGTGTTGGCATCCTGTATGGGCATCATTTTACATTCTGGTGGCTCCACTTTCCCTCCAGCTCCCTGTGAATGACCTTGGAAAGCAGCGGAGGATGCCTCAAGTCCTTGGGCTCCTGCACCCATAGAGGAAACCTAGAAGAAACTCTTTTCCTGGTTTTGCACTGATCCAGCTCTGGCCTTTTGGGGAGTGAACCAGCCGATGGAGGATCTCTCTCTCTCTGTACTTCTGACTTTCAAGTAAAATAAGTACACTTTTTTTTTAAAAGGATTTACTTATTTTTTATTGGAAAGACAGATTTACAGAGGGAAGGCGAGACAAAGATTTTCTCTCTGCTGGTTCAGTCCCTAAATGGCCACACAGGCTGGAGCCAAGCTGATCGGAAGCCAGGAGTCACAAGCGTCTTCTGGGTCTCCCACACCAGGGCTGGGACCCAAGGTCTTGGGTCATCCTCTTCTCATTCCAAAATACACACCTACAATTCCAAGACGCACATCCTTAAAGAAAGGCAGGCTTTGGGAAACATGTCTGATCTAGACTGTTCTGGGAAGAGATTTAGTTGAACAGATCTGGTACCCCTTTCCCTCAACAATCACCGTGATGGGGCAAGCATTATGACACAGTGGGTTGAGCTGCTGACTGTGGTGTTGGCATCCTTGAGTGCCAGTTTGTGTCCCAGCTGCCTGCTCTCAATGCAGCTCCTTGCTAATGTGCCTGAAAAAGCAGCAGAAGATGGCCCAAGTACTTGGGCTATTGACACTCATTTGGGAGATCCAGATGAAGCTCCTGGCTCCTAGCTTCATCCTGGCCCAGCATTTGAGGAATGAACCAGTGGAAAGTCTTGCTCTGTGTCTCCTCTCTATCACTCCATCTTTAAAAAGAAATCAATAAAATATTTAAAAAGAATCACTGGCTTATGCCTAAAGCAGGGATACTTTTGATCTTTGAATAGAGAAATTATCCTCTTCTTTAAAAAAATGAAATTTATCTTTGTGAGGAGTGATTTGAAAGTCATCATGGAGACTGATGCCCTGCACCTGCGCCATTTCTTCTTCCTCACTGCTCACAGAATTCGCGCCAGTCCAGCCATCCACCAATCAGATGTAACCTGGCATTCCACCTGAGAATCCCACCCCCAATCTCCCAGCCCCTTCCCCAACCCGCCCACTCGCCAATCATCCCCAGGCATTCACCTGCAGGCACCAATCCCCTGGGGCCTTGACCTCAATCCCTCCCAATCCCCGCCCCCCCACACCTGGCAGACAAAAAAGGCCCCCAGGTGCGGTTCGCCCTTTTTTGCTCTCTCTCTTCCTCTCCTTGGTTCCTCTCCCCTGCTCTTCCTCCCTTCCCTCCCCTTCCCCTGTTCCTGCCCCACTCGGTTCTCTCTCTCTTGCTCTCTCTTGCTCTCTCTCTTGCTCTTGCTCTCTCCTTGGTTCCTCTCCCCTGCTCTCCCTCTCCTCCTTCTTACCTCCCTTCCCCCTCCTTCCCCTTCCCCTATTCCTGCCTCGCTGGAATAAACTTCCTAAGATATGTTGTTGCGTCTGGTGTTTTCAGCTCACGGTAAAGAACCAGGTTGCGAGAATTAGCTGCGCGTAAAGTATCGTAATATCGTATAACCTAAAACTAGAACTCTTACATTCTTTTAAATAACTAACAATCTTAAGGGGGCATTTCCCTTACATACTTCATTTCCAAATGACCCCAATGGTCGGGGCAGGGCCAGGTCAAAGCTGAAAATTTCATCTGGTTCTTCCACGTGGATGCATGCTACCAAGCACTGCTTCTCTAGTCACATCAGCAAGGAGCTGGATTTGAAGCTGAGCAGCAAGGACTCAAGCCAATACCCATATGGTTTGCTGGCATCACCAATTTCAAGGTATGGCTCAATCAGCCCCTTTTCTCTTTTTACTGGTCCATTGCATCATTTTGATTCTGTAATATTGTCTGCAGGTCCTTTTCTTGTTACTGTACCTCTGGCTTCCCCTCACTCAAACAGGAAGGATGTCTAGCATATTTGGGCGTATTTAATAATGATGTTATTAGGATGTAAAATATTTGAAAAATGAAATTTGTACATGGTATAGCAGAGATACTAAATAGTTTCAATAACACTAATAGTCACATCCATTGTCAAAAGAGTTCTGGAGTCAAATTTGGGCTTTAGTCTGAGTTTTGCCACTTATTAGACTCTGTGACTCAGGGTAGTTAATTCCTCTGAATCTGAGTCTCCTCACATAAAAAAAAATGAACCTAATTATTCCATTCTGGCAGTGTTATCTGTTTTTTAATCATTATTTTTTGTTATTTTATTTGAGACACAGAGAGACAGAGACAGAGATGAATATTTGGTTTGCTGGAATTGGAAACAGCCAGGGCTAGACCCCAGGGACTCTGACACAGGATGCACGTGCCCCAAGCAACATCTCAATATGCACCAAATGCCAGTCCTGAGATGGTGTACCTCGACAACTGTAGAAATAAAAAGGTCCTTTCTAGGTCGGGAAACAACATGAACACAGATGGGTAGAAAAGAGCATAATTTTGCATGGAAACTATTAAATAGGCTGATGAGAATGGAAACGACAACAGGTATTAAAAATGACAGCAAAGGGGAAACGGGAAATGCCAGATCACGAAATTTTAAAGTTAGCCAAAGGGGTCCCAATGTGTTAGTATGACACTGCGAGTTACTGAAAGTTCCACAGTAAGTCCCCAAGAGATGGCATCATTTTCAAGATGATAAGTCCAGTAGGCCTGAGGTAGCAGACCCCCTCGGAAGCACAAAACTGAAATAGCTCTATCTCCTCACCAATGTGTAAGCTGCATGGCCATAGAACTCTTGAAAAATACATTGGTAGCAATTTCAAGAGAGAGGAAAGGTGAGATCAAGATCATTTCTGTCTCTGTTCGCCTCCAAAAAATCAAGCCACAAGGAACAATCCATGATCATTTGTAGTGCTTTGAAAAAGAAGACAAGACAATTTCTGAGCTCAAGACAGTTTTTACAGAAGGGAAAGAATATAGCAGGCTTACCTCATTGCCACGTTGCTTCCATCAATGACAATTGGCCTCAAATTATCACTGCTGTCAATTTCATCTTCAAGAGATAATTCAGGGCTTGGAATTTCTCTGGAGCTGGACCCACGAGGCACTACCAGAGTCAGGTTGACCTGCCCTTCGGAATCACCTTTGTTGCCAAGTCTGACAAGCTCTGCCAAGACATCATTAATAAGTGATTCTGGTCCCAGCTTGTGCAGCACTGATTGAATCTGTTCCTCTGCATAGCCCAGCTTCAGAGCGAAATCCATCTTGGCTTGGTATTCTTTCTCCAAGTCGAGCTTGCTGTCCTGTAAAATGCTGCTCTGGGAGAAACTTGGGCGATCTAGGCAGGGTGATCGGCAGAGCTGGCGGTGGGGCTTGGAGGGCATCTCCTTCCTCTTGAGTTGGCCATCTTTGGGTTGGCAGGTGGTGGTGTTACCGCCTTTCAGGGTCACCTGCTCGTGGTCACTCTCAGAGCTCACCCACTCTTCAGGGTCAGCATTGCCCTGCTCCGTGCCGTCCTGCTTAGGCTGTTGCTTCTCTTCCTTGGAGGCACTCTTGTCCATTTTTGGTGTCTCCACCGCAGCTGTGGCCGTCATCCCTGAATGTGGGCAGTCTGAGGTCTAATCAGTTCTTTTTCTTTTTTAGCCTGCTTGGGATCCACATAGAGTGGCATTCCTCTGTGGGAAAATGTGGTGGCAATGGTGCACGATTTTGTTTGTCTGGTTTGTTACTTTCAGATGTTACCAGTCCCTACAAATAAGCACACATACCACAACCATGTTTAAGAAAGTTCTGAAAAAGAATTGTAAAGGTTTCTTTCTAAATAACATTTCATTTCTCTTCTTACTCTATATAGTCTCATCTGATATTAGAAATACAAAAAGTCGATTTTGTCTTGTGGCTTTTCATTTAAGGGGATGTATAGTAATTGTGTAATGGAGAATATTATATTCAGATGTGAGGATACAATGCAGTATTGCATCTCTACATCCAGATTAAAGAAGGACTTACAATGAAACTGTTTACTATATCTTGACAATAGGATGCTGGACTCTGCCATTGTCCATGCCTGCAATGATGGACATATGACTGTGTATGAAGAACTATACTATAGCAATAATATAAAGGAAATCAATGGGGGTGGAGGGATTTGGAGAGGGGGTAAGTGGAATCCCAGAGCATATGGAACTGTATCATGTAATAATAATGATGATGATGATGATGATAGAAAAAAGAAACAAAAGATCCCAAGAAAAAATATAGAAAGCTAATTCAAATACAATTTAAAAAGATTTATTTGAAAAGCAGAACTATGGGCCTGGTATGGTGGCTCAATTGGCTAATCCTCCACCTCCAAGTGCCAGGACAACATATGAATGTTGGTTCCTGTCCCAGCTCCTCCATTTCCCATCCAGCTCCCTGCTTGTGGCCTGGGAAAGCAGCAGATGATGTCCCAATGCCTTGGGCCCCTGCACACATGGGAGACCTGGAATAAGCTGGCTACTGGTTTCAGAACTGCTCAGCCCCAGCCATTGTGGCCATTGGAGGAGTGAACCAGCAGTTACAAGATTTTTCTGCCTCTCCTATCTATAACTTTCCAATAAATATTAATAAATTTTTTAAAAAGGTAGAACTAGAGAGAGAGAGAGAGAGGAGAGATTTCATTCACTGGTACACACGACAGATGGCCCACACTGACCTTTTCCAGGTCTTCCTCATGGTTGCCAAATCCCAAGTATTTGGGCCATCCTCCGCTGTATTCTCAGGCACATTAGCAAAAAGCTGGATCAGGTGAAGAGCAGCTGGGACTGGAACCGGTGCCCACACTGTATGCTGCTACTGCAGAGAGAACTTAGCCCATTGCACCACAGAGCTGGCAACTAATTCTAATAATTTTATTCATATGAGTTTCAGTAGTGGTAGTTCTCCCCATACGCAGATGTACACAATTTTAAAAAATTAAAATTGTGTGTATACTACCACAACTTGAAAAGGAGAAACCACATTTCACACACGTATCCTGGAAAAGGACTCTTCCTTTCTGCCAGGGAAGCGTGTCCAGATTTTATGCCACCAGATTCTTTTACTAAGGCTGAAATCCACCCTGGAAGAGCATAGGAGTCCCATCTACTAGGGAGACTAGACAATCAGAAGAGCTGCTTTCAGACAGCAGCAGCAGACTGTAAGGGTTCCACATACAGAACGCAGTGTTGTGCACACTCCTGAGTGGATTCGCAGTGTCTTATATTTATTTTCATTAGTAAACAAAAGAAGAAAGTTCACTCACTTTGCATTAAAATAGGACATGGTAAAGGGAATATTAATTACCAGAGAGAATTAAGGCCAACTTCTTCTTCTTCTTTTTTTTTTTTTGCTTAAAAAACTGATAATTGAAGATGGTTAAAGGAAAATAGCTACTTTTGCTCAAAAAGGAAGGAGAATGGGAAGAGGTTCTTCAAAGAAAAACTTTGTATAGGACTGTGTATGGGGTTCAGGAAAAGCCTGAAAAGTACCCAATCTCTCTGGCTTATGGATGACCCTCAGGCTTTAGCAGTCAGAAAGTGGAGGCAAAGTTGTCATTGTCAATTGCTTTTTTTTTTTTTTTTTTTTTTGCAAGTCCTCTGGGCAAAGAGAGGGAGAATGATTGGACAAAATAATTAAAGAAAATTTCTGCTGAATCAATAGCTAAAAAATAAGCTATTTCAAGTAGAGACTTCAGCGGCTACACACAACAAAGAACAGAGGAAAAAAGCAAACAGGCAAGCACAGAAACCCTCAGGAGAGGAGGAAATTTGATTTTTAGAGTTGAAACATCATTTCAAATGCTATGTATTCAACAAAAAAAATTAGGAAATATGCAAAGGAACAAGAAATTACAGTCCATACAGAGGGAAAAAAATCAATAGAACTCATGTTGAAGTTTAGTCATCGTGGTAAACTGTATTGCTATTTGGGCCCCTAGGTGGGTTAATGAATCATGGGTTCTTCTTCATGAATGGGTTATATGAGTTAGTTATAGCAAGAGTGGGGTCCTTATAATAATGTTAAATCCATCCCACTTTCCTCTCTCAGTCTCTCACCTGCTTCTTAGCCCTGTTATGTCATGTAGCACAAAGGCCATTTACAGATGCCAGCACCTTATCTAGGACTTCTCAGCCTCCAGGACCATAAACCAAATAAACTTCTATGGTTTACACATTGCCTAATCTGTGTTATTCTGTTACAGCAGCCAAAAATGGACTAAGATAATGTGTTATGTCTTAGACCGTGAGGGTGTATTTTGAATATTTATTGTAACATGAGCATAAGATACAGTCTTTTTTGTGGACAAGTATTCTGTAAAGAAGGAATATTAGAAATTTAAGTAGCGTTTATATGGTAACTAAAGGATTTTTAAATACTGTATGCTAATAAAAAAGATACATGTCTAGATGCATCAGATACACATTGCTTTCTTGTTTAACCTGTTCATTTGGCAGCATGCTTTTTAGTCTCCAAGTATGTCCATATCTCCTGGGTTATTTTGATCTATTGATCTCCAGTTTCACTTCATGATGTCTGAGAAAATGCATGGTATGATTTCATTATTTTAAAAATTGCTGATGCTTCTTTTGTGTCGTATAATTTGATCAATCCTGTAGAAGGTTTCATGTATCGTTGGAAAAAAAAAATATGTTCTGTGTCTGTAGGATAAAAAGTTCTATAGGTATCAATTAAGTTCATTTTTTCTATTATCTGTGTGAGCTCTGTTGTATCCTTGCTGAGTTTCTGTCTTGTCAATCAGTACATTGAAGTAAGTGAGGTGTTAAGGTCCCTACTATTATTGTACTGGTCCCTATTGTATTGTATTGTTCCTGCTAATGTGCCTGAAAAGCAGCAGGAGACAGGGTGAGTGCTTTGGCCCCTGCACCCTCATGGGAGACCTGGATAGAGCTCCAAGCTCTTGGTTTTGGCTTTGTCCAGTACCAGCCATTGCAGCCATTTAGAGAATGAAACAGTGGATGAAATCTCTCTCTATCTCTTTCTCTCTGTGTGTCTAATTCTGCCTTCCAAATAAATAAATACTTAAAAAGTAATACTTTTAAATTGTATTACTTTATTTTATGTATTCTCCCTGGTAACTAAAAGGAAAATATGTACAGAAGAACTAAAGAAAATAACCAAAGCATTTGTCTTAGTCAATTCTTCATCAGTTCAGGCTGGTGTAATAAAATAGTATGGGCTTAGTGGCTTGAACAACAAAATTTATTTCTCATAAAGTTCAAGATTAAGGTGCAGATAGACACAGTATTTGTTGAAATTACCCTTTCTGGATTGAAGATGGCCATCTTGTCATTACATCTTCAGACTGATGGAAGAAAAATCACTTCCTTTTTGTAGCTATAAACAAAGACACAAAATCTCATATGTTAGTGCTCTGTACTCAGACTAGAATTACTTCCTTAAAACCCTCCCTCCTAAGATCATCCTATTGGAAGCTGAGGTTTAAACATATGAATTTTGGAAGGACACTGCTACTCACCCTATAACTTTATGGCACTACAAAAAAAAAATCAATGAAATACAAAGGTAGAATTGAAGAGGAGATGGCAAAACAACTAGAGATACACACAAAAATTAGGCAACAAAAGCAAAAATAGACAAATTGGGCTATATCCAAAACAGCTACACAGCACATTAAATAATCAAAATAGTTAAAAGACAACCTACAGGATGAGAAAAATATTTTAGTTCATTTATCCGAAAAGAGATTTATATTAAGAAGGTATAACTAACACCTACAACTCAACAATAGAAATCAAACAATCCAATTTGTAAAATGGGTAAAGTATGATCAGCAGTTTTCCAAACAAGGTATAGGATTGGTTGACAAATATATGAATAAATGCTCAATGTAACTAATGGCTAGAAAATGCAAATAAAAACCAAAATAACATATTTTCTTAAACTTGTTACTATGAACATTAATAAGAACAAAACAAAAGAAAACAACGTGTTGGCATGGATGTAGAAGACATGGAACACTTGTATGTTATTTGTGGAAATGTGAAATAGTACAGCTGCTGTGAGGAAAAGAGTGATTCTTTTCTGCAGAAATTTCAAAATGTAATCACAATATGAAGCAGTATGCCACATATGGGTATTTATTCAAAATAATTGAATGTAGGATCTTGAAAAGATATTTACAAGCCGTATTTACTTCAGAATTATTTAGAATATCCAAGAAATAGAGGCAATATAAATATCCATTACCTGATGAATGAATAAAGAAAATGTGTTGCAACAGTCATTAAAGAACATTACCAAACTTTGGTAAGCTTTTCTGAAAAGTAGAATGATAGATTCTTTTTTTTTTTAAAGATTTATTTTTATTATTTTTTCATTGGAAAGGCAGATATACAGAGAGGAGAGACAGAGAGGAAGATCTTCCGTCCGATGATTCACTCCCCAAGTGAGCGCAACGGGCCGATACTATGCCGATCCAAAGCCAGGAGCCTCTTGCGGGTCTCCCACGCGGGTGCAGGTTCCCAAAGCTTTGGGCTGTCCTCAACTGCTTTCCCAGGCCACAAGCAGGGAGCTGGAAGGGAAGCGGGGC